CACTGCAGCTCGTGACCACCTGCCCAAGGCCTGGGTCCTCCCCAGCCTCAAACATCCCAGTGGGATGAGACATGTAAGACCAGCAGGTCTCACTCCCTGGTCCCCACCTCGGTTCCATCCCTCCTCCCCTTGACCCCAACCCCACCATCTCAGCCCAGGGTTTAGGCTCCAGGTAGGTCACGAACCCAACCAGGACAGGTGAGCCCCTTCCCATCACGAGCCCCAGGAGATGATTACCGCGATGTACTGGAAGCCCATGCCCACAATGAAGTTCGAGGTCCAGTTGGACAACCCGGCAACAGCGAAGGCAGCAGGACGAGGGCCTTGGCTGAACAGTTCTGCCACAATGAACCACGGGATGGGGCCTGGACCGATCTCAAAGAAGGCCACAAACCCGAAGATGGCCACGATGCTGAGGTAGGACATCCAGGGCATTTGGTCCTAGGCCAAAGGAGAGAGAGAAGGTCGGCACGGTGCAGGAGGATGAAGCATCAGCTGTCCCAGAGGTGGGACTTGTGCAGGCGTGGTGCTGGCAGAGAAGCTGTGAGGCTTCTCCAGACTGGAGTTCTGGGACCTCCACAGAGAGGGGACAGCAAGGACAGCTCAGCCATCACCTCCAGGAGGACCAGCCCTTCCTCCTCTCCAACCACACCTTCCCCTCCAAGCCACCGCAGCCAGGGGCAGCACACAGGACCTCCTCCCAGCCTCCCCATCCCCTCAACGCCCATCACTCACCAGCAGCGTCAGGGCAATGGTCATGAGCACCGCGCACCCCGCCATCCCGGCCAGGCCGATGAGGTGCAGCGTCCTGCGGCCAGCCCGCTCCACCACAAAGAGCTGTTGGATGGAGACGTGTCCATCAGCACACCCCCAGCCTGGAGACAAGCCCCTGTCTCTGCACCCACCACAGCAAGAGCCACGTGCGCCAGAACTTACCGAAACAACCGTAAAAGCTGTATTGACCACACCAGAGCCAATGGTGGCATAGACGGGCTGCTCCACACCCGACTTCTCAAAGATGCTGGTGGAGTAGTAGAAGACCTACAAAGGGCAGGGACATGCATGAGGAAAGGAGTCGGGTCTTGGAACCAGCTCAACCCAAGTGCTGGCTGAAAGAGCTGCCCCCCGGCATCCAGGTGCCCCCAAACTCACCGCATTGATCCCTGAGAGCTGCTGGGACAGCTGCAGGACGATGGCGATGAGGATGGGCTGGCGATACATGGGGGAGCGGAACAGCTCCATTATGGTGACCTTCTTCTCCCTCATCATTTGCCGGCTCTCCTCCTTCATCTCCTGGAGGTCACTGCTGACGTCCGTTGTGCCCCGGAGCTTCTTGAGGACTAAGAGGAGAGTGGGAGTCAGGAGCAGCCGAGGAGCCTCCTGTGTGGTGGGATGAGCTCGGGGGTCACTCACCGCTCTTGGCTTTGTTCTCCTCGTTGCGGTTGATGAGGAGGAAGCGGGGGCTCTCGGGGGCAAAGGGCAGGATGATGCACTGCAGCAGGGCAGGGACGAAGATGAAGCCCAGGAGCAGCGGCCACAGGGAGTCGTTTCCCATGATCAAGTCCAAACCGAAGACCTGAGGACAAGAGGGGCTGAGCCACCGTTTCCCTGTTCAAGCTGGACCCAATTCTGCAGCTCAGGGGTGCTCTGCAGGCCCAGACACCCATCAGAGGGACACATCTTCCTTCCAGGTGGCCAACAGACACCATACCACGACACCGCCCATCCCAAACCTGCTCCTGCTGAGCTCCAGGTCCACCCCTCCACCCCAGCTCCTTCTGAACAGCCATGCAGGACCCACAGCACAGACCCCATCCCCTGAAGCGCCTGATGAACATCAGCACCAAAGACGGGGGAACACCCCCCAGGCCGGTTCTCCAGCACTTACCTGCGCGATGAGGATGCCCAAGACGATGCCAAGCTGGTGGAAGGTCCCCAGCGCGCCCCGCAGCGCAGTGGGTGACACCTCACCCACGTACATGGGCACGAAACCGGTGGTGAGGCCGGAGTAGAGGCCGATGATGAAGCGGCCGAGGATGAGCATCTCGAAGGAGAAAGCCATCTTGGAGAAGCCCATGAGGACGGCTGACACGAAGGCAAGAATGTTGGACATCAGCATGGAGTTGCGCCTGGGGAGGGAAGGGAGGAGGGCAGTGAGGACCACAGTGGGCTGAGAGGCTGAAGGGGTGTCAGGAGAACCCAAACATCAGCTCTGGGGAGGAGGGAGATGCCCAAAGCCACCCCTGCTGGGAGGCCTGGGTGTCATGAGGCTGCAGGACCCCCCCTTTTGAGGTCCATCATGGGTTCACCACCCTCAGTGCTCACCGTCCAAAGCGATTGACAAAGAGCCCCACGGAAAAGGATCCGATCATGCCTCCAACGGAAAAGATGGCAACGGAGAGGGACCAGAGCGTGGTGAGGGTGGCCGGGCTGATGGGCTCATTGTATCGGTACAGCCACGTACGGTTGTAGAAGTCCTCAATCACCTGCAAAAGGAGCGTGGAGAAACAAAGCCGTGAGTCAAACCCAGCCCCGTTTCACCTGTGGCAACGGTGCAAGGAGTTGCCCGGCCTCAGCCCAGCCACCCACAGGCCCTTGGCTGGCGCGTGGCTCACAAGACGATGCGTCACGGGGCCGGGAGCTGCCCGGCCGGTGGCTCGGCTCCAGCCCGAGGGAGGGAACCTGATGGGATGTGCAGGGGAAATGCAGCCAGACGGGTTCTGGTCCTGCCCTGCCGAGAGGAGAGGCATTGCCAAAACACCTCTTGTGCCTCGCCAGGCAGCCATGGGGAGGTCACGCTCCTCCCCGGGACATGGGAGGCAGGGAGGGATGTGGCTCCATCCCCGGAGGAGACGCAGATGCTGCAGGAAGGTGAGGAAGACAGCGGGGTCATCTGGGCGGCTGATCGAGTCCCATCCCCTCAGACAGTCCCTCGAAGTTCATTTCTAGGGGGTTTTCCTGCAGCACTTCCATAACACAACACTTCTGGTACAGTTCTGCACCAGCACCACGCTGCTGCAATGCCAACAGCCGTGACGGGCCCTTGTCTTGAAGTCCCATCTTCACAGAACACCCTTCTTCAGGTATTTTATGTATTTTTTAATGTATTTTGAAAGCCAGCCTGCTGCCAAAAGCTTCAAGTGAGTTTATTGAAGGGTCATCCATCCATACCCAAACTGAAAGAGCAAAGGACTCAACCACCCTGCCAGGGAGGAGCAGAGATCTAGGGTGAGCAGGAGAAGCTGCTGCTGGACATCAAGTGGGTCCAAGGCCTCGCTGCCTCCATGGTGTCGCAGGCACTGGGCTCCCAATGGAGTGTTTGCACATGGCATGGCATTCCCTTGCTTTCCCATCACTTCCAGCACAAATGAAAGCCCCTGGCAGAGGCAGTGCCAGAAACACAACCCATGCTTCACCAGTCGGGTCCAATAATTCATTCTTTTCTTAAGCTACTCCTTTCAAAGCCCCTGAACCACCTGGACTTCAGTACTTCAGTGATTCCCACCTTTGATGCTTTGGGGCCTTCATCCCCTTTTCCTCCCATCACCAGAATAAATAACTGGTATTATTCCTTGGAGAAGCCAGGCCCTTGGCGGGGGAAGCAGGACTCTGCACAGACCCCACCAAACCTCGTGGTGCTCTGAGTTCCTCCCAGCTTTGCCAAAAACCTCCTGCTCTCTCCCCTTGAAGCAGACAAAAACAAACCCAAGTGACAGCGGGTGCCCCAGCGCTGGCTGAGCTACGCTGGGCTGTGCCTTGGCTTAGCAAAACTTAACACCCAAATACCCCCATCCCAGCCCCCTTTCCTCCTGCAAAAAAGGATGGATGGATGGGAAAACCCACCACGAGCTGTTGGGAGAGGAGATGAAAAAGGAGTTTCATGAGAGAAGCATGAAAAAAAACCCCAAACCAATCTCGTTTCCCCAAAGCTGGCGGGTTTTTCCGCTCTCTCACCCTCATTTCACTGCAGCTGAGTGTTTCCTGCCAGCCCTGGCCCAGCCATCCCCTCCCCACGTCACGTCTGCAAACACCCCACAAGCACCAGGCTGCAGCTCCAGCGGCAGGAAGGACTCTGTCACGAGGAGCCCAAACCCAGTGCTCAGCCCCTGCCCGAGCTGCGAGGCCACCAGAGCTGCTGCCCCTGTGCTGCTGGAGCCCAGGGAATGATGCATCCCAGTCCTGCATCCCTGTGCCAATCCTTCACCCCAGTGCATCGCCACCCTGCACCCCCACTGGAGCAGGTTGCCCAGAGAAGCGGTGGCTTCCCCAGCCCTGGCAGTGTTCAAGGCCAGGTTGGACACAGGGGCTTGGAGCAACCTGCTCTAGTGGAAGGTGTCCTTGCCCGTGGCAGGGGGTTGGGACTGGAGGAGCTTTAAGGTCCCTTCAACCCAAACCAGGCTGGGGTTCTACAATTCCATAATCCCCATCCTGCGTCCTGATGTATTTCCCATCTCAACCCTGAACCTGATGCATCCCAGTCTCAATGCATCTCCATCCTGTGCTCCAATGCATCCCCATTCCAAATATGATTCATCTCAGTCCTGCACCGTGGTGCATCCTGATGCATCCCCATCCTGCATCCCAATCCTGCACCGATTTACCCCAATGCATCCCCATTCCAACCCTGCACCCTGATGCATCCTAGTCCCAATGCATTCCCATGCCAAACCTGAATCCTGATCCAGACCTGATCCTACACCCCAGGGTATCCCCCATCCAAAGGCGGGATGAACCCCTGTGCCCAGAGTGTCCTGCTACCCCAGACCACGCTCATCCTGCTCCCAATACAGAGCACCCCAAACCCTTCCCCCATCAGTTCTGCCCCAAACAGAGTCACTTGCTGGGTGACTCGCCCCTAAAACACTCAGCCTGGGTCTGGCCTCAGCCCTGGGAGCTCAATCCTAAAATGCAGGAGGGAAGCTGAGGCAGCCCCCATTGGGGGTCTGCAGGAAGCAAAGCTCAGCCCCAGCTTGGATTCAGTCCCATCCACATCACCCTAAACAGCATCTCCTGGATCAGGTGAGGATGGAGAAAAGTCCTTCCACCGCAGGGAACTGCCGCGTCCTTGGGATGAGCGATGCAGGGTGTAATTACAAAGTGCTGCTCCCCGCGGAGCCGGAGCCTGGGGAGAAACGAGGGCAGGAGCCAGGAAGCAGCTTCCTCAGCACAGCTCCAGGGATTGCCCAGCTCGCTGCCGTCTCCAACGCTGCTCCCGTTGCCTGTCTCCAGAGGAGGATGCTCGCTGCCAGCCAAGCACAAACGTCACCAGCACGGATCGGTCCAGGGGAAGGTGAGCAGGGACCAGGAATTTTTTAGCAGGAAGATGGTTTCAGCAGACAGGTGCATGCACCAGATGGGAGCCGCAGCCTCCAGACACGTGGAATCCTGCTCAGGCTGCTCACTGGGACTCCAATTTATTCCTTGGATAACATCACATCTTTTTGCTCTTTTCACACTGACGGAGCCTGGGAAGTTTTCACACGGGGTCTTCTCTCCCATGAGGAGTTTTTTTGGTGATGGAGGTGGAATTTTGCAGCCCACTCACTGGTGACAGGACCAACCCTCTCGCGGCGTGAATCCTGAATCCTGCCTCAGTGGTTTCAGTTACTCAGGGCAGTGCATGGTGTGATGCTCAGGGATGGGCACCGCTCTGTCCTTCCACACCTCACCCCAGCAGCCAAGCTTTACCAGGGCACACTGCAAGCGCCACGTGGGGTCTCTGAACTAACACTTCCCAGCTTTTAATACCTCCAAAAGCCACATAAATCAGGGAATGTCACATTTTTCCAGGCTCCCATGTACCTGGAATCACTGGAGGATGCTGAGACTATGCTGGGGAAGGAGCAAACACCTCCTGCTCTCCATCCTCCTTCACACACAGCCTGTCCCGGCCGCCCGCTCTCCTCCCAGGGACATCCTGCCCCGACGCTCCGGGATGCAAAGCTCCCATTGGAGCAGCCATTCCCCCTCTCCAGATGACTCAAACCCCAATTAACTCCCAGAGCTCCGCTCAAAGCCGAGGTTAAAAGTTACGCCGGTCCCACCCAGCAAGCATCCTGCACGCGTTCCTGGGATTTTTCCCAGCAAAAACGCTAAGCAAGGAGGAAACTAATTCTCCTGGGAAGGCAGGAGCTGACTAACTGCAATCCCATTACGGGCAGTAAGCTGCCTGGTGGGATGTTCTATTTTAGCCAGGCTGGCAGCAGACACGGGTTTGTTTTGGGGCAGAGGGGATGGAGTTTTGCCGCGGCCCAGCGCACGCTCACCTTCTGCGGGGCGTTGATGACACCAGTGTTGTAGCCAAACTGCAGGGAACCCAGCACTGCTCCTCCCACAGCGAGCATCAGGCGGGCCGTCATCTGCAGGAGAAGGGGGAAGAGAACCACAACGAGGGGTTAAAGTTGGGGTCCCAGCTATGCCCCCCCCCCCGCTTTCCCCATTGGAGAGGAGCCCCAGTGCTTCCCCCCAGGGAACAGAAGGAGGAGGAGTGATGCTCATCAGGTTATAGAATCAATGAGGTTGAAAAGACCTTCAAGATGATCAAGTCCAACCATTCACCAGCACTGCCAAGGCCACCACTAACCCCTGGCACTGAGGCCTCGGCTACACGGTGTGTGAACACTTGCAGGGACGGTGACTCCAGCCCTGCCCTGGGCAGCCTGTTCCAATGCCTGAGCATCCTTTGGGGAAGGAATTGTTCCTCAGCTCCATCTAAACCTGCCCTGGGGCAGCTTGAGGCCGTTTCCTCTTGTCCCACCCCTTGTTCCTTGGGAGAAAAGTCTGACCCCCACCTCACAACAACTTCCTCTCAGGCAGTTGTAAAGAGTGATAAGGTCCCCCCTGAGCCTTCTCTTCTCCACACTGTGAGCATGAACACACAGGTTAAAAATTGCTTTTATTATGGCATCCACGTGGGCCAAGGGGGAAAAAATAATCACAAAACCACCGGTTTGGGCTTAAAAACCCCACAATACTGGTTGGGGATTCTAGGAATTTTTTGCCTGGTTTTATCTGGGCCTGCAGGGTCCCCTCTGAGGGCTCCACGTGACACGGGCAGCTCGCCAGCACGGGACACTGCCGGGAACGGCCCCGGTGTGGGGATGCTCCGGCCGGACAGGAGCCGCTAAAGAAGCCGGGGCGGGTTCACATCGGAGCCTCATTAACAGTCACTGAGCAAAACCCGGCTACTGGCAGCCCCTTCACCCGCCTCCTCTTCCTCCTGCTAAGCCTGGATGACAATCGGAGCCTTGTTTGGGAGCAGGGTCAGGGCAGGCCAGTGCTTGGGCCACCTTCGTTAACAGCCCAATTATCCCAGACAGGAGGTTTTCCCAGCACTCGGCTCCAAGAACCAGGATCCGACATTCCCGGGTAATCGGCTTTGGGACGATCCACGTGAAATTTATAAGCCCCTTAATTTGGGGGGCTGGGCTCTCTCCTCAGTTATCCCAGGTAGGAGTGCATCACTCAGGGATGCTCCCCTGGCATCTCAGATTAATATTCCCAAGGGATTGGTGCTGGTCAGACCCCACCTAAAGGCAACCCCTAAATCAAGAGGCACAACAGCAGAGCAAACACATGGGAAAAAAAGATGTATTTTCTTATTTAAGAAGCATTTTCTTCCTTTTTTATTTAACTACTGACCTCACCTCTCCGGCCAAACCACCTCCATCCACGTTAAAGTTTGTAGGGAGAAAGCAACAGGGAATAAAGGCAGCCTCATTAATGAAGCCCATTAATTAGGCTTGGCCCCAACACAACTAATCAGGGAGGTTTTGGCACTGGGTTCTGTTCAGTGCTTCTGAATAAACCCACCCCAAGAAGCAAATGCCCAGCTTGGGAGGGCAAAAACAGGCTGGGGAGGTGCTGGCATCCCAGAAAAAGAAGAGGAAAAAAAGCCCCCCTAAAATCCCAAATTCCAACTCCAACCTCATCCATCCGCCTGCTGCTCTGGAAAACTGCAACAGGCAACACGGGGAACGCTGAGATCAACCCACGCGTGGGTAAACGTTGTTTGAAAAGCGAGGGGGTTTGGTATTTCGGGAATTTTGGGGGTGCTCTGGGGTGTCTCTAGGGTTTGGGGTTGCAGTTTTCTCTGCACATCCCTCAGGGCCGTCCCACCCGCCCCAGCAGGTCAGGGTGAGTCATGGGCAGCACCGCGCCGCAGGGATGAGGATGCATCACAGCGGCACGAACTTTGCTCCGGGAACGTGGCAGGTAGCAACACCTCCCCGCTCCAGCACTGCCACTGCCCCTCCAGAGCCCAACCACCAAGTTACTTCTGCAATTTCTACAAGAAAGAAAACCCTTAAATTTTTAACTTTTAGCAGGGAAAAAAAACAAACAAACAAACAAACACTAAGTTGTATTTTAAACATCTAACAAAAAACTTGGTATTTTTAACTTCGACCATAAAAAACTTTGTATTTTGATGACTGGAAGACGCTGGGATAGGGCTGGCTTGGAGGGAAGCTGCCGGTTGGAGGCTCTTCCCAGGCAGGGTCAGCGTGAGTCAGCTCCTCCCGCTCCCTTCTGCCTTCCCAGCTCCAAACATGCTGCCCGGCCCGATCCGGGCGCGTTTGGGCTTTAACCTCACCATTAAAGGAGAGGCTTAAGATGGCGAGTTAGGGAATTAAAAAAAAAGAAAGTTGGCTTTTCGAGCAGCCTTGCATGGGCAGCTCCTGCGGGGCCACGCCGGGGGGGGCCTTCTGGCTCTTTTTTAACTGCTCGCAGAAAACAGCAGCTTTATTTGGAGTTTGGGGGGGAGGGAAGCCCAAACCAACATACTTCCCCTTCGTGCTTTTGTGTAATAAACTTATTTACAGTCTGGATCCAGCCAACACTCATGTTAACCCCCCCAGCACCCCAGCTCTACCTTATAGGAAGGTGAGCACAGCACTTGTGATTTTAATAAATTCATTTTCTCTTGGCTGCTTCCTGCTTCCTCCCGCACTCGAACGAGGAAGCATCGGCCCGTGGGGTGACAGTGGCACCCCCAAACCTTTTAGCTTTACAACTCATTTTCCTATCCCATTTCCTCCAGCACGGAATGATTTCAGGACACTGCCTGGCTCATGGAACAAGGAAATGAATAATCCCTTTTAAGAAATTAATAATAATATTAATGAAGTGTCCCAGGAGGGAATCTCGGGAAGATCCACATTTAAAGGGCCCACAGAAATCAGCCACGAAGCT